ATTCACAACGAACGATCCACGCGCTTGACTCAATTGTCCATCTCTATCTCTGTCTGCAATTCAATTCCATTGTTTGGCGCACATATATACAAGAATACCGCACATCTAGTAACTCTCGAGCATTCACGAACCTTCGAGAGTATCATAACGTGTTACTAGCATCACGTGACTTCCGCTGTCGTAACACTGCCACTGCATTAGTATTGTTCGTCCCGAACAATAGCCACTTACATTAAACCAATATAAAATTAACAATAACTTAATTAAATGGACAGAATTTACAAACACAAAATTAAAATTCAACAAAGTCTCTTAATTTTACGGGACGCATTTTCTTCCGTACTGGTCTTATTCTCGTTGGCTTCTTCTTCACTTGGGGTTCATCTGCTTCATCGGGAATTGTACTATTATCGGTAGCAGTCACATTGGTGGTAGTAGCTTCATCAAGGGTTTCACTGTTTTCCTTCTCAAAACCGGGTAGAGTTTCTTCTTGAACAGTGGCTTTTTCAGGTGATACGTCTTCAGCAGCGTCATATGTTCTGCTGTTGATTTCGTTCCAACTGAAATGTCCTAGACCACGATAACGCCAAAGCCTGTTGGCATGCACCACCTTTGGCTTACCTCGCCGACCACATTTTATTTGAAAAGTCACGTCTGAGAAACGATATAGTATGTCATGACAACTAAGGAGACTTCCCTTTGGTCTTCCTGGGATTATACAACCACACCTGGTTTTCAAGTTTGAACGCACTTGATGGTGAATATTATCCATTCTTTCCGATAACACCTTCACGAATTCTGACACATTTTCAGGCAACCCTTCATAAGGTGGGCATCCTGTTAACAGATCCACTAGCAACCGAAGTTCCCGACCGAACACCAATTTTGATGGAGTGTATCCAGTGTTTTCATGCTCTGCTGTCCTATAGGCCATCAACAGTGGAGGGAGTAAGACATCCCAATCATCTTGGCGCCTATTACAAAACTTTGCCATTTCCTGTCTCAGTGTCCAGTTGTACTTTTCTACCATCCCATCAGACTGTGGGTGAAGTGGCGTTGTTCTGATCTTTCTATGCCAAACAACTTGCAGCATTCATGGCACACAGCTGATTCAAAGTTACGTCCTTGATCTGAATGCAGTTCGTATAGCATACCAAATCTGAAGAAGAAATCACTAATAGCCGAAGCTACAGTTGTAGCTTCCTGATTTAGTATTGCATATGCCTTAGGCCACTTGGTGAAATAATCCATCACCACACAAATGTACTTGTTTCCTGCACGAGTTTGGGGAAAAGGACCAGCAATGTCAACGGCTACTCTTTCCATTGGTGTGCCAACTTGATATAACTTCATTGAAGCACGTCCCTTATGCTTGGGTCCCCTTTTAGCACAACATATACTGCATGTTCTGCACCATTCTTCCACATCTTGACTCATACCTATTCAGTAAAATCATTGACGTAGGTGATTCAATGTCTTCTTTACTCCGAGATGTCCTCCTGTTAAATTATCATGGAACTGTCGCAGCACACCTTCCTGTAACTTTCTCGGTATAACCGTTTGCCGGGTCGTCACTTTCCCATCTCTGGAGAAGAATACCATCTT